CCCCTCGCGGCCCTTGGTGGCCCCCTCGCTGTCCTTCGTGGCCCTCTCGCTGCCCTCGCTGCCCTTCGTGGCCTCATATATGTATGCCCTTCGTGGCCCCCGCTTATTCGCGCCCGTCGTGGCCCCATATGCAGGCGCTTCGTGGCTCCGCTGTCGCCCTTCGTGGCCCCCTCGCTGCCCTTCGTGGCTCCGTTGCTGCCCTCAGTGGCCCCGTCCTTGCCCTCTGCGGCCCAATATACGAATGCCCTTCGTGGCCCCCGCTCGTTCGCGCCCGTCGTGGCACTATATGCATGCCCTTCGTGGCCTCGCTGTCGCCCTTTGTGGCCCCCTCGCTGCCCTGCGTGGCCCCGTTGCTACCCTCAATGGCCCCGTCGTTGCCTTCTCTGGCCCCGCATTATCTGCCCTTCGTGGCCCCCGCTCGTTCGCGCCCTTCGTGGCCCCATACGCATGCCTTTCGTGGCCTCGCTGTCGCCCTTTGTGGCACCGTTGCAGCCCTTCGTGGCCCCGCTGTCGTTCTCGTTCTCGCTCTCGCTCTCGCTTTCGCTCGTCGTCGTCGTCGTCTTCGTCGTCGTCGCCGCCGCCGCCGCCGTCGTCGTCGTCGTCGTCGTCGTCGTCGTCGTCGTCGTTGTCGTTGTCGTCGTCGTCGTCGGCCCCCTGTCCGTCCCTTTTGGGGTTGGGTTTCCGCCGATCAGCGTTGCCGCTGGCCAAGCCGACGGTCCTCAGCCGCCCAGTCGCTTGCCGGGGCCCTGCCTGCAGGGAAGAAATATACCCCCCCCAAAATGGGTACGTTCGAAGACGAAGAGGGCGGGTATCGAGGGCTTGGGAAATACACGTTGACGGACATTCAAGCAGATAAGAGCGAACAGTCTTTTCTTGATTGTTTTGAGGTTGTGGATGTGGTTGTGGGGGTTCTGGTTGTGTTGTTGTTGTTGTTGTTGTTGTTGTTGTTGCTGCTTTGCGCTTTGCCTGCAGCGTGTTGTGTTTTATCATCCTTATAAAATCGAGGAACCCAACAACCACTATACATCCTATACACCTTGTGCGCCATCTAAGCCTTACAAGCACGATGCGTTCTATATGCAGTGTAGTCGGTAAAAGCCAGGCGATCCTTGTAAGACCTGCGAAGCCCAGGAACACTCAAACGTTTTGAAATGCTGTAGCCCCTCATACCCCCTGAACTCTTGATGATGTCCATCAGCCATGTAGGGCTCATTTGGTTCATAGGGCCATTCGGTTTGGGAACGCGGTTTGGAGGATCATCCATTTTGCTGTCCGAGGGCGTGTCCAGTCGCGAGCAGAACTATGCGTCCACTGCGCATCGCAGATCATGCCACCGCCCCCAACTTTTTTTGTCACCCGAAAGGTTGTTTTTAACGCATGCTAAAAGAATCGGCTAAGGTTGACTGGCGCAATGTGTGGAACCGCTCCTGGCATGCATGTGTTCGTGCAATCTTATTATCCTCCATTATCCTCAATCTCATCATCATTGTTGGGGTGACGGAAAGCGCGCGTAGCCTGCGATCCTTCAAGATGGCCCAAGGCAGGCCCAAGAAAAGCCCAAGAGGTCGCCAAGACGGCCCGCGAGCGCTCCAAAAGGGCCCACTACAAGACGGCCCAAGAAACGACCAACACGCCCCACGAGGCCCCCAAGAGGATCCCCCAAAAGGGCTTGAGGAAACAACATGCTTTAATTTCCTGTGCGTATCTGGGTGATTTTTGGGTTCTCGTTTTTTTTCGGGCAAAGCGCGGCCACAGACGGCCTGGGGGCCTTCCGGGAATCGCCCAACGACGGCCCAAGAGGCCCCCAACAGCCCAAGAGGGCCCGAAGACGTCCCAAGAGAGACGTCCATCGGAGGTTCCACAAAGGCCCAACGTTGCCCCCCAAAGACCCCACGAGGGTCCCAAGATGACCCCGGCCCCCAAGACGGCCCAAGAGGCCCCCAAGACGGCCCAAGACGCGCCCCGAATGGCTTATATTTATTATTGTCTACACGCCAAGACGGATCCAGGGAGGCCCAAAGATCCCCGAGACGGCCCACGAGCGCTCCAAGAGAGCCCACGAAGGCCTCAAGACTGCTCAAGAGGTTCCCAAGGCGCCCCAAGAGGGCCCCAAGAGAAGTCAAAGGGAACCGCGAGGAACACATCTCATTGATCCACCTTATGTTTTTCGCGAGTAAAGTGCCGCCCAGACTCCCAAAATAACTTTCAGTGACGGAAGAAGCTTCACGCGAGTGGAGCGCACGAAGTGAAACGCGTTTCCACGAACGGAAAGAGCGGGGTACGAGTGATGGCGTTCTGGTGGGGCGAATTAGTCCTCTTGGGAGTAGTACGGGGGAGAGGGGGGGAGAGGCGAACAGCGCACAATCTGTTGCAACACGCCCTACTTTAGGCCAAGACGGCCCCAGTGGGCCTCAGAGTGGCCCAGAGGCCCCCAAGACGGCTCAAGAGGCCCTTCAATACGGCTTCATATGCCCGTGCAGATCGCCCCAAGACAGGCGAGACGGTCAAGACGGCCAAGAGGGCGCCAAGACGGCCAAGACGGTCCAGGCGGCCAACGTGAGCCCCCAAAGCGGCCAAGATACATCCAAGACGGTTCAGAAGGGCCCCACAACGATCTGACAGGGCCCCCAAAGTGCCTACAGGAGGCCGAAGAGGCCGCCAAGACGGCCCAAGCGGCACCAAGACTGCCCCAGGGGCTTTCAAGAGGCCCTAAAGTCGTCCAGTGACGGACACAGCTTTGAAGCCAAGGCTCCTGCCCCCAGACGGCCCAGTGACGGACACATTTTTGACGCCTTATTACACTATATATGCAGACTGAACTCGTACAGTCTCTCGTGGGCCCAAAGCGGCGCAAGTGGCGCCCCACATGGCCCGAGATGCGCCCAAGAGGCCCCCAAGACGGCCCAAGAGGGGTCCAGGAGGCTTCCAAGACGACCCAATGCGCCCCAAGAAAGCCCAGGACCGCCTCAGAGCGTTCCAAGATGGTTTCATATGGCTTCAAGACGGCCCAGGCGGTCCCCAAGGCAATCCAAGAGCCCCCCAAGAGGACCCCCATGAGGGCTCCAGCAGGCCAAAGCATTGACTTCCCATAGGTTTGCCAATTTTCTTTTGGAGACAGCCTTTTCGGGCTTCCGACGGCCCAAGACGGCCCACATGACCCAAAGATCGTTCCAAGACGGCCCAAGAGGCTCCCAAGAGGGCTTCAAGACGGCCCAAGAGAGCTCCAAGACGGCCCCAGAGGGCCCCAAGAGGGGTTCAGAGGGACCCCAGAGGCTCCCAAGAGAGCCCGAAAATGTGTTCCAAAAGGCTCCGACGAGGGCCCCAATAGGCCCTACAGAAAGCCCAAAGACGGCCAATGCCCTCCGAGACGCCCCAATGCGGCCGAAAAGGGCACCAGGACGGCTCAAGAGGGCCCCACGAGGGTTCAAAAGGGCCCCAACAGGACCCCCCAGAAGGCCCAGAGACGACGTGACAAGCTCGTAACACCAGTGCTCCCAAGAGCGAGCGGTGACGTAAGCAACTTTTAACACCAAGGCTCCCAAGAGCGAGCGGTGACGTAACAAGCTCTGAACACCAAGGCTCCCAAGAGCCCACAGTGACGTGACAAGCTCTTAACACCAAGGCTTCTAAGAGCGAACGGTGGGGTAATAAGCTCTGAACTTTCAATTTCCCACGAGCTCACAGTGACGCGTTAAACTCTCAGCACAACGGCTTCTAAGAGCGAACGGTGACGTATCAAGCTCTTAATGCCAAAGCTCCCAAGAGCGAGCGGTGCCGTTGACAGATCCGAACACCAAGGCTGCCAAAAGCCAGTGGTGATGTGAAAAGTTCTGAACACCAAGACTCCCAACAGACTAATAGTGACGTCACAAGGTCTTAGCACCAAGGCTCCCAAGATCGACCTGTGATGTAAAAAGCTCTGAGCGCCAAGGTTCCCATGGGCAGACGGTTACGTACACAACTCTTCACACCAAGGCTCCCAAGAGCGATCGGTAACGTGAAAAAGCTTACGCCACGGCCCCCTAGAGCGAGCGGTGCCGTGAAAAACTCTGAAAACCAAGATTCCCAATCTATCACAGTGACGTGACAAGCTCCTAACACCACGGCCCCCAATAGCGAGCGGTACAAGCTCTTAACACCAAGGCTCCCAACAACGAATGGTGATGCAACACGCTCTTAGCACCAAGGCTCCCAAGAGCGGATGATGCCATGAGCCATCTCGGGTAAGTTTTTGAAGCGCTCTTTCCGTTGCCGTGCTGGCCCAGGTGACAGAAAGAGCGAGGTACGACTGATGACGTTGAGTTGGGGCGAAGCTCTCAAGGGAGGGGTCCAGGGGAGGGGGGAGGAACGGGGACATAGGTCTAAAGGCCCTGCCCCCCCGAGAGGCCCCCAGACGAGGCTTCCAGGACGGCCCAAGACGGCTCCAAGACGGCCCTGGAGCGCTCCAAGAGACCCCACTACCTTCCAAGACCGTTCCAAGATGACCAAGATAGCCTCAAGACGGTCCAAGAAGGCTCCGAGAAGCCCCTAGAGGCTTGCAAGAGGCTTCCCAAGAGGGCCCAAAGAAGCAACGTTCATGGTTTTTAATGGTTTTGATGGTTTTTCGGGTTCTCGCTTTTTCGGGCCAAGCGGGCCCCCCAAATGGCCCGAAAATGGTCCAGGAGGGCCCCAAGACGGCCCAATAGGGCCCCAAATCGGCCCGAGAGGGCTCCACGACGACCCCAACAGAGCCCAAAGAGGGCCCAAAGATGCTCCCAAGATGGCCCCAAGGGGCCCCCAATAGAGCCGGCCCAACAGGGCCCCAAGAGACGGCAAAAGAGGGTCCCCAAACGGCCCCAAGGGGCCCCCCAAAGACCTCCAAGAAGCCCAGTAGACGCCAGGTAACACCATGGCTCCCAACAGCGAGCGGTGACGTAACAAGCTCGTAACACCAAGGCTTCCCAGAGCGCGGTGATGTACAAAGCTCTTAAGACCAAGGCTCCCCAAAGCGAATGGTGCCATGAGCCATCTCGGGCAAGTTTCTGAAGGTCTCTTTCGGTTTCCGTACACACCGTCGGCCCGATGGGACGGCGAATCATCCTTTGTCCTCCACCACGATCCAAGCAAGCAGGGGTCTTCTTAGAAGCCCTGCTGGCTAGAAGTCCCAGGACCCTCGTCAGCCAGGCCCCTGTCTTCAGAGAAGGCCGCACGCCTCGCCGCACCGCCTCCTTTCTGGCTCGCCGCCGAGGTGTGCCCTGCGGGAGGCCGCTGCTCGTCACACCGAGACAGGGGTGCCGCTCCGAGAAGCCGAGGCGGCCTGAAGATCGGGAGGAGGCACCTGACCAGCGCCGCCAACTTTGGGGGGAGCTGCACGGAGAGAAGCCCTCGGAGGTCCGCATGCACTTTTTTGTGCCGGCGCTGGGCTCCGAGCGCGGCAGCGGGGCCCCAGCTCCGCGGCCTCCGCGGCTTCCCGGCCTATGGCCGGGAGGCGGCCACGGCCACGAAGTTCCCCCCCCCCCCTCCCCCCACACCACAAGTGTTTTTGTTGAATTTTCATTCTTGACGAATAATTATAGTTGATCCCCCCGTCCGGTGCACATTGTTTTTTCCGATTGAAGTGCCCTTCCCAGGGCTCGCACCTTGTTTTTTGATAAAGTCTTGAGGGTCAAACTGTGTTGTTGGCCCCCGGTTTACAACAACAACGGCTCCCGCCTGATATTTCCGTACAGTTTAGTGAAGAATCGCGCTTTCGTTTGGGACTTCCTTGCAATTTACCACCAGATCGCGGCTCCCGCTTGATACTTCCTCACAATTTTGACCGTGTCGTCCCTTCAGCTGTCATCTGCTCCGTGTCTTTGAACCCTGTCGGCCCTGTCGTGGGCCAGCCTGTCGGCCCTTCAGCCCCCACCCTCCTCCCTCTCCTCCTTCCCTTCCTCCCTCTTTCCCTTCTTCCCTCCCTTCCTCCTCTTCCTCCTCCTCCCTCCTCTCGTCGTGGTCGTCGTCGTCGTCGTCGTCGTCGTCGTGGTGAGCCCGCTGTCTGTCCATCTTGGGGTCGGGTTGCCGCGGGTCGGTGTGTGCATCGCCAGCGTTGCCACTGGCCAGGCCGACGGTCCGCCGCTTGCCGGGGCTCGGAATGCCGGCCCTTGAGACGCGCGTGTTCCATTGGCCCAGGTTCTTCAGCAGGCTTCGAATGAAGGCCTCCCTCGACGAGGCCCCCGGGGCGTTCCCGCAGGTTTTCGGAGCCTTTGGAACTGCTCGGTGGTCATCGGGGCCATTCCGAGGCACCCCAGAGGTCACAGGAGGCTTTCGGGTGCCTTCCAATCCCCCCGCGCTTTATTTCCGCACCAGTCTCCGCTCGTATCCACCTGCCTCAACTTTTCAACGTTCTTTCCCAGTCTTCTCTATTCTTGCCCCTATCTTCATTTTCAGTTCGTTCGTACTCCATTGTGCTATTCCTCAGTTCTTCGCATTCCGCCCCTCCCCCCGGGGCCGCCCCGTCCCACCCCGACAATCTCCGCCCCTTCTCGGTCGCATTCCGCATGTCTCCCAAATTATTCCCAGCCCCTTCTCCAGATTCCTCCGTGCGCCCCCCGCTCCTCCGCGCTCCTCCCGGTTCCTCTTCCCCGCTCCTTGCCGCTCCTCCTCCCGAGACCCTACTCTTGTCCACTCCGTCCCAAACCACTCCGCGTCCCCGCGCCCCTCTCGACGCGGTTGCAGTTCTCGCTATCCTTCCGCCCCGATGAACGCCAGTTCGCAGCTGTGCGCCCCCCCGTGGGGGTATCCGCGATGTGTTCTTTCAAGGGGGTGGTGCGTGGCGCTGTATATTGCGCGACCCATGGCGAAACTTATCGTTGACCTGCGTTGGAGTGGCCAGCGCAGGCCATGGCGCAAACTGTCGCCGATCGAAGCGCAAATCTTCGTCTTCCTTCCGTCTTGCCCACCCCCTCCCTTCCTCCGATCCCTTCGCCCTCATGTCCCCCTTATCTGTTGCCCTTCGCTTTCGTGGGCTTCGCCATCCGCGCGTGGCAGGGGATGAATATACCTCTCCCCCAAAGGGGGTGCGATCGAAAACGAAGAGGGCGGGTATCCAGGGTTTGGGATATGCATATGGAATGACGCGCGAACAGATAAGAGCGAACCGTCTCAAACTGATTGTTGTTGTTGGTTGTTGTTGGTGTTGTTGTGGTTGTGGTTGTGGTTGTGGTTGTGGTTGTTGTTGTTGTTGAACATTATTACTTCTAAAGAATAATTATTGTTGGGGCCCCTGGTGCACGACCCCCCTCCAAAACCTAGGCCGCAGCTACATTTTCATTATTTTTCTGCGAAAGCTTCAGAAAAGTGGATTGTCACCGGATCCGGTTTTTTGTTCCCCCCCGCTTTCCCTTGCAAAAAACACTATAAAATGAAATTTCTTGTTCAAATGTAATCAAATTTCAAGAATCCCTTGCAAAAAATAAGGTAAAGTGGACATTCGCGCGTGCAAGACGAAATCCTTCCAAAAGCTTAGTGTTCGGAGCGATTTTAACATAAAAACATCAAAAAACCAATGGTTTTTCAACAAAAAAATGTCAAAATCTCATCCCGCGCGCTCTTGCGGATTCGTAGGAAACCAACACTTTTTAAACATTTCTGTCAAACGGGCTTTTGCGAGCAACTTTTTCGAACTTCTGCGACAACGGTTGCGCACCTGCCAGGGCCATCATCCCTGTCAAATAATACCATGCGGGACACATTCGTATCAAATGTAAAGAGTTGTGTATTCCCATCATCCCAGGAACTTGACCCAAAAATGTGACCAACTCCGCTCTCTCTGTCTCTCTCTCTGTCTGCTCTCTGTCTCTCTCTCTGTCTCTCTGTATTATGTATTGTATGGCACAATTGCACCATGCTGGGCACATGCGCGCCCCGAATAAGTGACCAAGTTCTGTGGGTGTGTACCCCACGCCAGTGTAGTAGCCACGGTCGTCCGCACGCCACGAAGTGAAGTGTCCCAACGTCATAGGGCGGGAAGCTGGGTTTGGGTGGTCGCGAAGAGTCGTTTGGATATTTGGTAGAGCTTGTAATGCCCCCCCACGAAGTGGGGGTATTGCCTGGTGTCGTATGAAAACCCTGGCACTGGGGAGAACACCACGCGTTCGGGTAAAATGATTGTTGTTGTTGTTGTTGTTGTTGTTGTTGTTGTTGTTGTTGTTGTTGTTGTTTTGTTGTTGTGTTGTTTTGTTGTTTTGTTGTTGTTGTTGTTGTTGTTGTTGTTCCTGTTCCGTTCCTGTTCCTGTTGTTGTTGTTGTTGTTCTTGTTGTTGTTGTTGTTGTTGTTGAACATTACTTTTTCTAAAGAATAATTCGTGTTGGGACCCCTGGTGCGCGCCCCCCCGCCGCGCCTAGGCCGCAGCCACATTTTCATCATTTTCGTGAGGAAGTCTCAGGCAAAACGTGGGTGTCCGGATCCGGTTGTTTTGTTGACGCCCGCTTTCCCTTGCAAAAAAACACTATAAAATGAAATTTCTTGTTCTAACATAACTAAGCTTCAATAGTCCTTTTGCAAAAAATGTCACGAAGTGCACACTCGCGCGCGCAAGATGAAATCCTTCCAAAACCTTAGTTTACGTAGCGATTTTAACATAAAAACATGAAAAACCCAATGCTTTTTCAACAAAAAATTCAAACATTCATCCCGCGCGCTCTTGCGGATTTCTGAGGAAACGCAATATTTTTTTCAACATTTCTGTCAAACGGGCTCTTGCGAGCAACTTTTTCACGTGCTTCGAACTTCTGCAACAACGGTTGCGCGCATGCCAGGGCCACCATCCCTGTCAAATACGCCCCTGGTGCGGCACCATGCTGGGACACGCCCCTGGTGCGGCACCATGCTGGGACACTTGGCCCCTGATGTATTGGTGCCAGGAGCGCAGCTTGCAGTAGTGCGCCCGATGCGTGCCATTAGAGACAGGCGTATGCCAGAAGATGATGAGCACAAAGACTCGTCTCTTTAGTATGTCTCCAGAGCACGTATGTGTCCAGAGCCGCCGCGCCTTGTCCTGCTCCTCCTCCTCCTCCTCCTCCTCCGGCGGGGGGCGTGAGGATCCGGCATCGCTGACATGGGGCAACCATCGGGACCACCATCGGAACAACCATCTGGACAACCATGGGGACAACCATCGGGACAACGATCGGGACAACCACAACCATCAGGACAACCATCGGGACAACCATCGGGACAACCATCGGGACAACGATCGGGACAACCATCGGGACAACCATCGGGAGAACCATCGGAACAACAATCGGGACAATCATCGGGACAATCATCGCGACAATCATCGGGACAACCACAACCATCAGGACCTCCAACCAGAGAGAGGTAGCCACGTGTATTTCGTAGACGAATGAGCCAGTATTGCACATTGAGGCCGGAACGACAACCACAGAACAAGAATGAGCATATAACAACAACGGAAACAAGTCCTGTGGTATGCTGGCGCCACGCACGTGGTACCACTCAAAATAATCTTTGCTTGTGTGGTACGGAAACGGAAAAACGTCGGAAAACGGTACAGGTGTCCAGTGTTGGAACAGGGGGATAAGTCGTATACTAAGCTAGCTTCCACAAAATGTTACCACAACAAGTCATTGTACCCATGCGCCAGTGTAGTAGCCAAGGTCGTCCGCAGGCCACGAAGTGAAGTGTCCGAACGTCATAGGGCGGGAAGCTGGGTGTGGGTGGTGGCGAAGAGTCGTTTGGAAATTTGGTAGAGCTTGAACCGGCCCCCCCACAAAGTGGGGGTATTGCCCGCCTCCTATGAAAACCCTGGCACTGGTGAGAACGGAGTGTCCCCAGTCTTAAATGATTGTTGTTGTTGTTGTTGTTGTTGTTGTTGTTGTTGTTGTTGTTGTTGTTGTTGTTGTTTTTGTTGTTGTGTTTGTTTATTTTGTTGTTTTTGTTGTTGTTTCTGTTGTTGTTCCGTTTTGCGCTGGACTGGCGCCCGACTCTCTTTTGAATTGGCGCCGCTCCCAGCAAGAGCAACGCTCCCGCTCGAGATTTCGCCCCTTTTTCCTGAAGGCGGTGCTGTTCCTCGCCGCCGACAGCCCCCGTCCCGACAAAACCACGGCTCCCGCTCGATGCTTCTTCCCTTTCTTACTCAAGGCGGTGTTCTTCCTCGCCGCCGAAAGCCGCCGTCCCAACAAAACCAGCGTCTCCGCTCGAGACTTCGTTTTGTTTTACGCAGGGCTGGCGCCCAACTCTCTTCAGCATTGGCGCCGCTCCCAGCAACAACAGCAGTCCTGCTCGAGACTTCCCCCCTTTCTATTCAGTGCCAGGTCCTTTCCCCGCCGCCGACAGCCCCCATCCCCACCAGGGCAACCCTGTCGTTCGATGCTTCCTTGTGTTTTACCCTTCGCTGGGGTTCCAGTGGTGGTCTCGCATCGGCGCAACACGGCGCGGGCATGTGTTTTCGAGGCGGGATATGTTGAACTTCCTCGGAACAGGTGTTTGCAAAACCTCAT